CATGACGTATATTTACGACTAATATGGGATACATTCACGAAATTACTTTCTCAGGTTCCTGAAGAGCCTCGATGGGCTAACACGGAGGCCAGGGAGTCTTCTCTTACGGACGGTATCAAAGTGCCTATGAAAACGGAAGACAGCAGAACTTCCGCGAAGGGCAATTCGATACCAGCACCAGAGATCGACATGGAATACCCTACCCACGTAGCGTTAGATCGTATGTGATCATATACGTGAACGGTTGTTGGTGTATGGGGTTAGTCCGGGTGGTTGTGTTGTCATGTGCCTGTACATGTAGTAGTGGTGTAGCTTTGTTGGCTGATCAACTACCAGCCCCACAGAATAGCTTGGGGCACACTATATATGTGACCTTGGTTCGCATGTGGCATTGAAATTTGTGCACTTCCTTTGGTGTCTGTGGCTGAGTTGTCCGCCCACGTAACCTCAGATCGTATGGGACAGACAACACGCACAAGTTTTTTAGTTGATTCATGTGGTTGTGGATGTCAGGTAACGCATGTGGCTGTGTTGGCGTGTGCTTGCTAATATATAGTGTGTGTCCCATGTTGCAGCATTACCGTATAGCTGTGTGAACATGTACTTGGCACATGGATCATATCATTGTGTGTGTTCCGAGATTGTTTTTGTTAAATTTCCAGTACTATTGAGGGTGAACTAGAACCCCGGTATCACTACTGGTGTAGCTGTGCTTCACGTTCTCAAACAACCCTCTCACCCTCCGCCAAACGGACATACATAACCTCGCCCGTATTAGTTATAGATCCAGTGTATTGGACACGCTATAAGCGCGTGGATGTGTCAACCTATGTGAGTAACTATGACAAGCAGTGCTTGTGCTGATATGCAACGCGTGGGTTAGTGTATCAATGTATATATGTAGGTTGGCTAGAAATTCGGTATAGTTATGTTGACCTATATCTACAAACCTCGCACTCTATGTCCTCGAAGATATGCGGCTATTGTTGTAGCCATGTTGGCTTATGTCTTTACTCAGATCTATTTTCATGGTTAAATATGTGAAAGTAGGGGGGTTGTGGATGTGTTTGGGTTTGGTTACATGATTCATCAGTGGCTGCTCAGGCAGTTAAATTTACCGGGTAGTTCTATACAATGATATAAAACGATCCAAGAATCAAACACAGGCCGGTGGTAGCAATCAATGACGAGCTCTATTAGCAACGAGAAGCTGTGGGTAGTACGAAACGAGTGTATAAAGATACTACAATACAATATAACGATATACAAAAGTGCCGTATTTAACCACAGGTGTGGCTAGCAGTATAGGACACAGATCTTTCATACTGATATAACACAACACGAAAATCAAACACAGGCGGTAAAAGCACCGAACGACGGGCCCTATTGGCCAACGATATGCTGTGGCTGGCAGTGAGCATATTCCTCGTGAGTCTGTTTGACAACATGATGGACATCTGCGATCTGTTCCGATTGATCTTCGAGGTTGTGAGTGCCTACGGCACGGTTGGACTGTCACTGAGGTGAGTGCACACGGCTGCTGTTACACACTCACACTCACTCGACGGGACGGGCGTTCGTTCGGTTTGCCTATGTGTGTATGTGGTACGGACGCTTTGAGCAGGAAAAGTATGCACCGATACATATGTGGACATACCTTCATGTACTTATGTATGTGTATACATGTACTCATGTACTGATACTGGGATCATGCCAGTGTTCTACGAGTATAGCTTCTGAGCTTGAGAGAGTTGCTTTGGGTTCGAACTACAATGTACAGCCCATTGCCAGTGGCCCTGAATAGACAGCAGATCGTGCTTGTAATATTCATCACACCCTGAACATCTCTTCACTTGTGCTAGCATGCACAACAAAACCGGAGCCTTTGTCAGTTTTACGGCCGCATTTAGCAAACTCTAGGGTGGTAGTACTAGCCAACTGCGGCAAATGCCAGCACGCACAACGATACCGAAACCTTTGTCACGTTTCTTCCGCCTTTAGCAAACTCATCATAACCCGTACGTGCTTGTCTTGTATGTACTATAGGTATCGCGCGAGTCTCGTATGTGCCACGTATATGAACTCCGATACCATGAACTATACCTTTTCCAGCCATAGCAACCCATTCCATCCATGTAAGCATATCAAACAAACCCTAAAACCCTAAACCTCTATAACCATAAAACCCTAAAACCCTGAAAACCGTCTCCTTGTCAGCCGTCTATACGCATCCAGCAAGCTTGTTATCATGACCGCAATAATGAGTGGGCGACATAGTGGACACTCCCTCATTCTGTACATAAGATAAGCATGCAGACATAGCACAATGTGCAATTACGCAACGGATATACGTATCACTTATCAAAGCTCAAACTGTCGTACCTCTCCTTGCGCAAACCAAGCACGCCAGATGATACCGGATCCTTCGTTAGTGGTATGTCCGCGTTTAGCAAGCTTGTTATCATGGCTGTAATGATGAGTGGGCGCCATAGAGGTCTTCCCCATTCTCTGGACTCAGCCGTTACCAGGATCAAACAGCCTACCACCAAGCCACAGTCGAGCCCCCTGAGTCAGATGCGATTGGACGACTTTATGCAGTACACGCGTGGCCACCCTACGTCCACTATTTACAGTGGCGCGAATGTATGTATTCTTGAATGTACTTGTATGCCTATATATATA